GAACCCAGTAGCTTGTCATGGAGATTTCAGTAAACTTTTTTACTGGATTTTTACTGCGACCTGTCAGCATAGCTTTAGGAAAATGCATGGCTCCTTAGTTTGCTCAGAGAGATAAAGAATAGAGGACTCAAATTAATTTTCACTTAGGAGATGAATGTGAGGGAATGTGGCATGCTCCTCCGTGTTATCAGTTATTTATAGGGTTTCTTCAAGTGAAATATTCTTTACTATCTGATTACTAGAGACTATTCACCATGGCATGAAGCTGCTCAACAGACTGATTTTATATCATTGCTGCAGTTTGTTGCTTCACTCCAAAGAGAAACAAATCGTAGCAGTAGTAAGAGAAATGCTCTTCCCGAAACGATCCTTCTTTGCCTTTTAAGCGGGCCTTGTCTGTAGTGTCTTTTGTAGTGTGCTGTCACCACTGGCACTAGGGAAATAACTTACTTTCTAGAACATTTTCTTGACAGGCTAGGGAGAAAGATGTCTCGTTTGGGCAACGTGCCCTCTTCCCAAGACCCATTTCGGGCTGCAGCTAGGGCAGAAAGCCCACAGCCAGCGCCGACTGTTCGCCCGTCGCCCTCGTTCAGGGAGTGCTGCTTAAAAAATAAACGATCATTTAAAAGAATATTAAAAGGGAAGGAAAAGTAAGTTTGGGCATTATTTGTAAACCTGCTGAAGAGTATCTGAAAATGCGTGTAGGACTAAACTACGTATGATGTAATTTAATGTGCAAACTCTTTTATCTGTCACTGAAATCACCACGAAAGTGAAATCTGGCAACCATTTAAAAAGACACAACTAATTTATACAGCTTCCGAGGACAGCAGTTAAAATACAATGTTTAACGGGAGGAGGATGTGTCATTTTAGTCTGGGTATGTTCTCCTGTGCAAGTTGCCTTGATTGGAGTTTTTAAGTGAGTTCTTAGTGAGATTTTAAGCTGGACATACGAAACGTAGTATTTCCTAGAAGCTGTTGTCATTTAGCAGGGGTGCGATGCCATCTCAGAAGGAAGGCTGGTGTAACTGGTGAGTATGTGTGTAAAACTTGGAGGTCTCCTTGGGAAACAAAAGCAAACTCTGGGCGACTCTTGAAATCTCCCACAAACTCTGGGCGACTCCAGCCGGGGACGGGAGAGGTGAGCCATGTGTGTACACTTCATGCTGCAATTTAAATAGCTTTTGCACCCTTTTAAACCTCCTTTTGCAAACACAGTTTTATAAAAATAAGGTGTCAACACTTTTTTCCAGACAGAAGCTTCTTAACTGTATATATCCAAGTCTGTGCTGCCGTGAAGTACAGGAAGCACAGGCCGTGCTTCGGGCGGGTACGTGGGTCGCTCGGTGCTCGTCCCGGCCCCATCCCGACCCCTTTTCCCGCTGCGCTCGGCGCGCGGAGCTCGGGCCGCCCCGCTTTGCCCCGTGCAGGGCTGCGGCATCGGCAGGCGCTCCTTTCGTAAATGTTTTCCTTAAACGCTCCCCTGCGGGATGCCTTACGCCAAGGACGACCCCAGGAAATGCTTCCCATAGGCGCAGCCCTTTTCCGACAGCGCAGCCAGTGCGATCCTGCCGCACGTGCGTGTCTACGGGAGCCAGCGCGCGGCCGGAGAAACAGCCTGTGTGCAGTGGGAGGAAACGGAGGAAAAACAGCAACAACTAAACTGCAACATTTGCATTTTGGCCGATGCTTTTGAGTTGTTCAAGATGTTACAGAGATACCGCATTGTAAAAAATAGTATTTCACTTCTCCTTTCAGTTCAAGTTCCTCCGATTATTTGTGAATCCCTGAGGCTTGGTCCTGACCGATGTTTTCACCATACTTGGTAACATTTAGATTATATTGCAGGAGTTGAAGACACTCCCTGGTTGCCACTTTTCTCTCTTAGATTTTTTTTTTGGATGGGCACTTTAATACTGAATCTTCAAATATTTAGGAAAGGTGGATAGCAGGCTGACTAGCTAAATATACCGTGAGAATCTGTAGCTTATGTAACATGTGAAGTAGCCAAACTATTTTCCATGTGCAGCTTGCATGAGCTTTATGTGATGGCATCTTCCTCTCCCCTTTCCTCAGATTTAGGCCTGAGAATGAGAACAGAAGGATTTGATCTTTCTCTAGGCATTCGATCACGTAAGTGCATAGTACTTGAAATCAGCACTGCTATGTATTTTTAAAACACGTATGTTTTGCTTCTGGGACTTGCAGAACGTGCCAGTAGATGAATCAAAGCAGAAGCAGAGGCAGAGCCACTGCAGCAATTGGAAGAGAGGCAACAGAGGGAGCAAGGAGGAAATATCCAGTCTTTCTGTTCTAGATTTTCTCTTTTGCCCCATCAGTAAGATAGGGTGGGTTCCCGCCAGGGTCTCTGCACGTTGTGAAAATGATAGCAGTTATGCAGAGTAATCCTTGAACTCTGCACTATTTTCCCCTCTTCCTTTCAGCGGGGTATTCCCAGGATGGGTTCCTTTGAGCAGGATAGCTTCCCGTTCCCGCTCCGCGCCGGGAGGAGAGGGTGCGTGTGCAGCCTGTCTGCTGCAGGCACAGCTCCCTGCCGTGCCTGGGGAAGGCCCTGGCCCTTCCTGTGCCTGCAACACGGTGGGAAACACGCACAAACCTCCCCTGTTCCAACGCCAGCTCCGCCTGCAAGGGAGAAGTTCTGAACAACACAAAACGCGTCCGAGCGGTTGGGCCTGTGTAAGCTGCTAAAGATGCAGGTTGCCCATGGATGGTTTGCTCTAGTGCAGGGCAATCTGCTTTGTCCTCTGCATCCATGTCTGCTGGAAATCTGGGGCTTACAGCTGTGCAAACGTGATGGAGTGCAACCAAGTCGCTTTTAAAAGTGCTCGTGAAATCACCATCGCAATGTGAGCGAGAAGCAACTTTTAAGTATTGAAACTATTTCAAATTGTGAAAAGCACAGCAGTCTCTAAGTGCGGAAGGGGCTTCCCTGCACGTCTGCTCTTTCCCAAATCACCTCCTGCCATCCACCTCCACGTTGAGGACTGAGTCTCCTGAGCAAAGTTTGTTGTGTACCAAGGGAGAGAGTGCTTCTGCAGGGACAGAAAATGCTCACTGAGGGCAATCATGAGATATCAGTATCTTTTTTCATTTGATGCCTTAAGAGCAGGCTTAATGCTGACGCTTCAGTACCCTATCTTTTAAATATGAAGGTTTGAATGAACTCTGTGTTTTGGTGCTCTGTAATGCTGTTACACTTACGTACTTTCTATCCGAAGAAGCAGTGGTTACCTGACATGCCTGCGTGGTAGAGTTACTTGAGCGCTGCGGGGTTCCTAACTAGTTTAGCAGAAATGCTGAAGACGTGGAAAATATATCAGTGGTATATTATATCTAGTATGAGATGTAACTGTTTAGCAACCACAGGAGAATTTCCCTGGATGCTGAAATACTGAGACACATTTCTTGAGCATCTCTTGAGATAGGGAGAGAAGTTAAAATGTTGAAAATAGAAGGCATCGAAATTGTGGACTTATAAACCAAAAGTATAAAGTTAGAAGGCTAAAAACATGAAAGCAAAGGGGACCTTAGAAGGCTGAAAATGTGAATGTAAATAGGGAGCTAACCTTACAAATAAAGTAGAAACTCTAGATAAAAGTGCTGCTAGAGAAAAAGTTTGGGGAACGTGGGCAGCATTCCTCTGAAATCATCTTACAGTGGTTGGCAAAATATTAGGGGCCAGGAGAAATTTATCTTACTCTGTGTGTGTGTGTTTGTATGTGTATGTGTGTTTGTATATTACACTTGCTCAGCGGTATATTATACTTGCTCAGCGGTATATGCTTTAGGATAACGTAACCTCATATGTAATAGTTATTTGTTATATAAAGCACTCTGAAAGCATTTTGAAGGGCTGAAGTATTGGACTACTAACATGTTAATCACTATTCCAAAATTTCTTGTTCTTTCTGGTAGAAGGTATCGTGTAAGGCTTTGTCTTCCAGACATGAAATGGGCAGAGAGGAGCCTCCTGAAGTTCAACACAGGGAAGTGCAAAGTCCAGGGGAAGAATAAGCCCATGCCCTGGTACAGACTGGGGGCCAACTGGCTGGTCAGCAGCCAGGGGCCTGGGGGCCCTTGTGGATGGGTTGACCATGACTCATCCATGATGTGACCAACACGTCCTTGTGGCCAAGAAGACCAGTGGTGCCCTGGGCTGCACTAGGCCAGCAGGCCAAGGGAGGTGATCCTTCCCCTCACACCGGGGAGGCCGCCTGGAGAACTGGCCCCCAAAACATGTATCTGCTCCTCTCCTTCGCCCCGTAGAAGGAAGTGTATCCTAATTTTGAAAAGCTGGACGTGCAGCAGCTCTGTGTTCGTAGTGAGCTGCGGATGTCCATGCCCCTACGGAGAAGTAGCAGTATAAGGGGAAGGCTTCATTCACCTTTTGCCCGGGGGCATTTCTAACCTGACGGAATATCTGAAAGCATCTGAGTTGTGCTACAATTGAGATTTTGAGCAGATAATCGACAGCACTGATAAACAAAGGTTTTTAACCTCAGAAGACTGATGTTAGAGATGAGTATGCGGTGTCAGCGTGCAGTGCTCTGTTTCCTGTCCCAGTAAAAAAAAAGGAAAGAAGCTATATAAAATGCTAATCATCTCACTGTGGTTTCAAATAGACTAGACTTGAGAGCCTTGAGTATTTTTTCCTTTTCCCTTTTAACTGCAATTTTGTTATTGTATTGCTGCCCCCATCTCTGCTAAATATGGCTTTTGAAATGTAAATCATATCATGTTCTCAGAGATGCATATGACACCCTCAGCACTGCTCCTCTTTGCACTTCAAAGAGCCGTGTGGTCACACTTTGCATCTCAGCAAAATCGCAATATTTGCCTTCTGAAGATCCCCTTTAATGTGTACAATCAATCCCTGATAATGTGTTTTGGGTTTTTGTTCCCTGGAGTCTGTTAATTTTAATGTTGCTACAGGTCATCAGGAAACATAATCTCTTCTTTTTTAATTTCTCAGTGAGCGTGCCTGAGGGGAGACAAACGCGGGAGAGGAGAGACAACCGAACGGCGCTGCTGACTGAGACCTAAAAAAATGGTGCTGGATGAACGGAGGATTAGAACATAATTGTGAAAGGGAAATACTGTCCTGGCAGGCAATTTTCTTCATTTCCACATTCATCATGGCCCAGATTCTCTGGCTGGATGGTTGATGGGACTGCCCAACACTTGCTACCTGGGTTTGGCGCATATCCCTCGTGTCCACGGCTCGAAAGACCTGGGAGCAGGTGGGAATCGGATGATGTCAAATACAGGAATGGAAAGAGAAATGGACTCTGACAAGCTAAGATGGAAGTGACTTGGCAGCTTCAAGCTCGGCAGTTGTCTTCAGTAAGGACAGGTTAAGATTGGAGTCACAAGCTTCCCTGGGAGAGCAGTATGCAGGAAGCTGGTTTTCAGGCCACAAATGCTTTCACAGGTAAGGACTTCTGTGGTTCCAATTCAGCTGATGATCTTGAGATACTTTACTAGAGTTTAGAAAATAAATTCTACAGGTTCTGGCTGTAGTTAGTGCCTTCTAGTATATTAAATTGAAGTAGTATTTGGAAATGCTTCACTGAAGGAACAGTTCAACACTCGTAGTGTTAGCAGTGAGCAACACCCTTTTTAGATCCATATTTCGAGCCCTCTGAAATGGATGCTGATATGCCTTAGGGAAGGCCTAGCTAGGCTTTGCTCATTAAAGTACTCATTAACAGCTTGACAACGAATGGCCTCCTGGGTCAGTTGGGCCCACTTACGCTGTATAAAATGTAGTCTATTAAGTTGCTCTTATATTTAATGTGGGAGTCTGGAGAGGGCATAGAAGGGGCAGTGTTCACCTCAAGGGGCTTCTCACGATCGTGGTCATGTCGAGCTGTAAATCTTCTGCCAGAGCACAGCTCGGGCAGGACTTGCCAGGTGACTTTTACTTTGTGCTCCCTCCCTCGTCACCCTGGTTCTGGTGCTGTGATTGCAGCACCTGACAAAACCAAAGGATTTAAATGATAATTGTTTCAGCTGATTCCAGTGTATTTCCCTGTAGATGTGTTGAATATAATTTAATAAGAGAAAGGGTGCCACAGTAGTGTGTTTCTCTGAAAAAAAGCTCCCTCTAGTGTAAACTCCACTGGAATTCATCAAGCACTTTGAGTGTTTGAACTGGTTTTGAATTTGAGGTGGGAGAAATGAAACGGGGATCAGAAGATATTGCTACTCTGTTTCCACATCTGCTCAGCAGCTGAGATCCCCTAGGAAAGGGAGAGCAAATCCACTGGGTGTTTTTCTTGCTCCAGTAGGGCTGGCTGGAGTGCTAGCACCACAGTGCAAGTAAGTGGTGTCTCATTTCAAATTTTTTGCCTTTAGAAGAAGTTTGTTGGATTGTGGGTTTGTATGGGAGCAGCATTTTCTGACTCAGGCTTTTAGGTGTTCTAGGGACACTGCGGAAAAGAGCAACAAACCTGTTCCTTTCCCCAAGGGGCCGCCCCCACTTCTGTTTCAAAGCTCAGCACCCTCTTACAGCACCTGCTGCAGCTCCTGCTCTGCTTCTGCATTTCTGTGCTTGCCACCATCTGCCAACCCTCAGCTCATCCCTGTGGCTCTTCACTCTGCTTTTCACAGAGTTTTACAGAGCTCTCCCCTTTGCTGAGACCCTTATTACTTTTAGCACTTTTTTTTTTTTTTAGTATTATTTCCTCTCCAACTTGACTCTCTTCTACCACAGCACCTGCTATTCCTTAGCTCCAAGAAGACACGACAGTTGGCATCTCGAGCAGTCAACCCTGTTTCAGGGTGTCAGGAACCTCCTGACCACTTCTGTGTATGGAAGGACCAGCTAGGAATGCTGCGTAAAATTCAGGAAGATGAAAATGTTGTGTGAAGGAGACTCAGGACAACAGTTACATCCTAGTGACAACCCAGCCTGTTCAGGGTTGGTTAGCCAAATGGGCCTATTTTGGAGATCCTGCTTTTTCCCTTACTAGGTTTGTACAGTGCATCCGGAGATGAGCAGTGGGTAGATGAGTATATATCTTAAAGAGATTCTCAGGAGTGTACTGCACTGATTTAAGAGGCGCAGTGAAGCTGCAATGGCAGGTGTGTGTTGTTGCTCCTTGGATCCTTGCCGTGTTGCTTCTCTTGCTGGAACGCTGCTGCGGGATCGCAGGTGCCTTGTAGCCGCAAGGGCAGAGCGGGCATGAGCACGTGCACGTGACGTGTCGTCAGTGTGTGCAGAAGGAAGCACTGATGTCTGAAACTTGAGCAGTGTCAACGCTGGGTCTCGCAATGCTGAGTGGTTGCAGCTACTGCACCAGTCAGAGCCACTGCCTTCAATTTGCAACCGAGCGCAGTGCTGGTAAAAGAGGACGGTGCCTCTGTGTAGCCACCGTGCGGGTCTGTCCTCAGCCTCCCTTCTGCCCTGCTAATGCCTGTGGCCTGCGAGGCTGGTGGTTAAGGCTAAGAGGTGTTTCGATGCTGTCTCTCTGCCCATTTTGCTGCTGCAGTTGCCAAGGTTGCCCTTTTTTGCGGATGGCTCCTCTTCCAAGAGATGGACCGATCCAGTCACTTTAACATGTATTATTAAACAACAGCTGATGGTAACAGCTTTTTCACTGTGCTGACTGAATGCTAATTTTGGCAGATCATGTAGGTACAGTAGGATTACAGAATATGCAGAAGGCAATGGAAGCGTTCCTAGGTTTGATTAGGAAAAAGGTGGTTGAGTGCGTGATAGTGACAGCAATCATGAAAAGGTGAGCTCAGCCTCCTTCAGAAGAGGAGGAGTACTTCAGAATAAAAACAAGAAGCCATGCAGCCCCCCACCCACATTCCATGCAAACAAACTTATAGAATTGATCGGTAAGTTTTCTTGGGAAACAAACCAAAGAGAAGAAATTGAAGTGCTGGCAGTTTCTAAGGAGCTGACTTTTTCTTTTCAAGTCATAATTAAGAGTATTAAAAGCACAAATAAAATGGGTACCAATAAAGAGAAGTATAGGAAGAGAGAAAATTGAATGATTTGAAAACTGAGGGGACCTCATACACAAAGTGAAAGCTAAATACATTGCTACAGATGAGAATAAAATATTAGTAGAAGAATGCAAGGGCCAAATCAGTTAGGCCAAGGTCCAAACAAAGTGCAGCTAAGAAAAGAGAAGGGTAACAAGAAACAATGCAATATGTGCTGTAGTGGTGAGAGGAAGACTGAGTTTCTGGACTACAAATTGACCAGAAAAATCAAAACTGATGATTGAGCGCAGAGAGGAACAAGTAGCTAGTGGCTTTTTTTTTCACCTTTCTTTGCCATTAGGGTTAACTAGAATTCCTACCTTTTTCATAGTAGTATTAATTTTCTTAGCCACTTGATTATATCTAAAACAGGAACAGAACAGATTATAAAATAACTAGATATTTTGAACCAGCTGGAGCTTAGTAAATTATTTCTAGTGTATATGATGAAATAGGTGAAGCAATAAGCTGAAGCAAGTGGTGGTTACAGTGCAGACCACTTGGAGGACAACCCAGGTTCAAGAAAAAAACTGGGCAAATGTTGCACCTGTATGTAAATTTTCCTGGGTCCTACTTTTTCCCCATTGGAGTAGATGATAACTTATCTTGCATTCTTGGAAAAAAATCTGGACCAAACAATCAACTGATCCTTTTTAAATAGGTTGAAGATAATAATGTGATAAGCAAATTGGCATGATTTTTTTTCCAGAAAGTACCTTGTCAGATGAGCCTAACCTCCTTGTGAATAAGTAGCATATCAAAAATTTTAAGGCTTTTCATTCTTTTATAAACAAGGTGGTAACATGGGCTACAAGAAAATATTGTAAGGTGAGTGCACAGTTGGCTGGAAAGCTCTTCTCAGAATAACTATTAGTGATTCAGAGTCAAACTGGAAGGATATGTCAAATGGGATTCTGCCCAGGATTGCCTGAAAAATATTCAATATTTTAATTAATGACTTAGATGATAGAATTTGCATGCAGCATTTCCAGATGACACCAAGTGGGGAGGGGATGTAAGCCCTTTGAGGACACGATTATTATGCTTTATTGGAGAGCTGATCTAAAACAAATATGATGCAGTTCATTAAGAACAAGTTCTAAATTGTGGTTGGGCAGGAATAATCATCTGTGCAAATCAAAATGTAGAATAACTGGTGAGGCAGCAGATCTGTGGAAAACAGATGGGCAGTTGCAGGAGATCAGAAGAGGGTTATGAATCAACAATACTATGCTCTAAACATAATGCTGTGATGTATGGACAGGAGCCTGTATGTCAGACATGCAAAATAATTTTGCACTCTACTTAGCATTTGTGAGGCTGCTGTGCTATTTCTGTTCCGAGCAGCGCCCTTCCAGCCAGCTGGGAGCATCCAGAGAAGAGCAGCAGTGCAGACAACGTGGCCGCGGAGAACAGAGCAGTTGTGCTCAGCCTAGAGTAGCAGCTCCCAGCTCGCCGAGGACGTCGTTCCTCGTGCCCGGGCAGCAGCTGGGCCCTGTGCGGCGGGGGGGGCGGCTGCCATCGTGGAGCCGTGCGGCCCAGGGCTGCTGCGCCCACCAGGGCTGTCTCGCGTGGAGGAGGCAGCGGCCCTTCTTGCTCGGCCTGCCTCAGCGCTGAGCCCCTGCCAGGGGGACTAGTGGTAGCAGAATTGGGGACAGCCAAAGTGGTTTTGGGAAGCAGCTGCTTTCTTCAGCAGGGTGTGCTTTTGGTGTTGGGTTGCAGAACAACGTAACTCTGAAATCAGCTTTCCACCCATGGGGATTGTGTGGCACAGGAACATCCTGGATGTTGGAAAGTAGCAGATAAAGGGAATAGTATGGGATGGATTAGGGATCGCACTATGAAACTTCAGGACCTCAGAAGGTCAGTTCGGGTCCATCATGATTTTGTTAGCTCCAGCTCAGCATAAGCTCTACCAGACCTGAGTTGACCCTTAGGTGTTCCTGCCCACTGTACCACAGGCTGCAGGGATTATTAGCTGGGACACCAGGGAGTCTGGAATAAACATGAAGATGTCGCTTTGTGAACCACTGCCCTTCTCTGTTGCAGGTTCACATCTTCTTCCCTAGGGTTTTCCGGATTAAGTTTTTCCTACTCTAAATCTCCCAGTGATCCCTCTTGGCCTTGTGTCTCAAGACCCCTGGAGCTCGACCTTGGGCCATACCCGAAGTGTTGCTGGTTGCTGCTCCGCTTAGCTGTTACTCCCCCAGGCCCTACCTTCACAGAGCACCTGAAGTGATCTCCTGGGGCTTCCTCATATTGATGAGGATGCAGCTTGACGGAGCTTCTGCAGTCCCTCACACCTCTGTGTGCCCCCAGGATTTGGGATTTTTGTTGCATTTACTGTTCTACCTGCCATATCTTCCTTACCTCTTCTTACCTCTTGTTTTTCCCCTCTTTTTTTTTTTTCTTTCAGCTGGTCTCTCTTCCAGA